AAAATGGAAGATGATTGTAAGTATCCGGATATATTTTCTAATGAGGACTTTGTTCAAAGAAGACTAAGCACATTTGAAGACGTTCAAGTATGCATTTCTTTACTTAAAGAAGTTTTGGAGTACCGTAAAAAAAATATAAGCAGCTGGATTGTAGAAGTAAAATACAATTTTATTAAATGTTCTTGTTTTAGTTACGTATTTGAAATTAATTTTTTTTCATCTGCTTTTAGAGTAAAGTAAAACAACTATGTAGTTTTTACAAATGTTTAATTAAAAATCATAGAAATGAATTTATTCAAGTTTTATCCAAAGATTATGCCGTCAATCATTATAAAGTATTTCAACTTTCCGAAACATTAGCAAAATGCAGTAATATATCTGAAAGTGATGCTAAATCTGATGCTAAAATTTTAAAAAATGAAGATCAACTTAGAACAATTCTTACACCTCAATATTCATGGCTTTTTTTGAATATTGGAAAACTTGAGAAAGGAGTCAAATTCTTAGTCGACCTTAGGACTGATGTATTGGTAAATTTAAATTAATTATTCTTTAATGATTGTATTATAACTTAGTTTTACAATGAGATATATATAATATGATCATAATTAATTAAATTGTGCATTTTTCAATTTATTTGACTATATATATATATATATATATTAAATTTATATGGCTTTTAAATTCAGTTTCCAATTTTAAGAATATAAATTTTTCGGTTTTCTTTTTTTAGGAACTAATCGCTGAAAAAAATTCGGAAGTTGATAGTACAGTAGAACTGCAGCAACTAAATTCAACCTTAAGAGATTTGCTATCTTTATGGTTTTCAATAGGTTTTTTACAACTTCAAAGAGTTACTTGGAATTCACCATGTGAGATGCTTCAAAAAGTTAGTACTTCATTTATAATTTATAAACTTATTGTTACAAAATTGTTTATGATTACTGTGTTTTAAAAACTTATCAAATATGTTGATAGTTTAAAAAAAAAGGTGCTGTATTATCTATAATGTTTTTAAACAAAAACAATAAAATTTTATTAATTTGTCTTTGAATAGGTAATACTTAATTTTAGATTTCTGAGTATGAAGCTGTTCATCCAGTAAGAAGCTGGACAGATCTTAAAAGAAGGGTTGGTCCTTATAGAAGATGCTTTGTTTTTCTTCATGGTAGTATGCCTGGTGAACCAATTGTGGTTTTGCACACTGCTTTGTGCGATGAAATCGCTTCAAGCATGTCTGGCATAGTTTCAGCAAGGTCTAGAATGTCAGGTATTATTAAAAAAATTTTTATTATTACTTTGTTTTCATTTAATAATATTTGGATTTACTTTCACTACAGTTGATTCTTCATCTAAAGATTTTAAATTATTGAACTCTCAGGAGGAGGATGCGACATGTGTTAAAGCTGCTGTGTTTTATTCCATAAGTTCAACCCAAAAAGGATTGCAAGGAATAGAACTAGGGAATTATTTAATTAAAAGTGTTGTTCATGAATTGCAAATTGAATTTCCTCAAATGACTCAATTTTCTAGTTTGTCCCCTATTCCTAATTTTAAAACATGGCTGATAGACAAAGTAAAATTTGCAGAAAAAGGTTAACATTTAAAACTTTTTTAGAAATTATTCTAATTCATTCAAATTTTTTATGATGTATTATCATTAATATTTACTAGGTTCAAATGACATTTTACTACATGATGAAATAATTACTTTAAAAAAACATCTAAATTCTTCATCGGACTTTTGGAAAGATTTTAAAAAAATTTTACTTTCGAATGCTTGGGCAGAAGATAAAAATTTAGTTTCGCTTCTAGAGAAACCATTGATGAGGCTTTGTGCTCGATATCTATTTATTGAAAAGAGAAGAGGTTATGCTTTTGATAGTGTGGGTAAGTAAAAACTACTAAATAATATCAAAATATTAAACAATTAGTTATTTTTCAAATATATTTTACAAATGCAGCAAACTTTCATTTGAAAAATGGTGCAGTTTTATGGAGATTAAACTGGTCTGCTGATCTTTCTCCTAGAGGTTTAGGAAATTCTTGCAGTATGATGGTGAATTACAGATATTTTTTAGAAGATACTGAATCCAATAGTAGAGCTTACTTAGAAAATTTTAGTATTCCAGCATCTGAACAAATATTAAATTTAGCTGAACAAGCTAAACAGTTAATTGTAGTGTCTAAAATGTAAATTAAAAATATTTTTAATAAAATAAAGTGTTTTAAAAAATATCAATCAATTTCAAAAAAAATGTAAAAAGAAAAATAGTATGCAATAGTGACAGTTGGAAATATTTATGAACTTAAAAAGCATAAAAAATTGTACAAATCCATTTACAAATATCACATTTATTATTATTTATTATTGATATTGATTTTATATAATTATTATATAACTAAAAAAATTTTTTTAAATATGCATTATTAAAACTAAACAAAAATAAATTAACTTTGGTGTTTTAGCATGCTCGTGTGCTTTAATGCTATTTTAATTATTATTAATAAAAAAAATAAGTGAAAAATGAAAAAAATTCAAAAAATAAATAAAAGATTACAACAAAAATACATAAATTAATAAATAAACATTAAATTAATAGGTTTAGCTTAAATAAAATATTATATATTTTGCATCACTAATATGTAATCCAACCACTTTGAAATTGCTTGTACAATAATCACCTGTGGAATGAAATCGTTTGTTGAGACTGGAGTTAAATGTAAAAATAAATTATACTTATATATGCTCAGCCAACAGTCCACTGAAAGCAATAAACTTTATGTAAGTAATCATTCTAATTATTTTTGTCACTATTAATTATCATATATCAAACTCACAGTTAAGTTGGGCTTTTCATTTGACATTTTTTCTGGTTCGGGATTTTTTTTTTGTTTTAGTAGTTTCTGATTTAGTTTAGCTTTTTCTGGATTTTTAATACCTCTAAGTTCTTCCTCACGAATTCTTCTTTCAGCAGCTTCTGCCCGTTCCATTCTTCCGGCATTCTAAAAAATAAAAAACTAAAATAATACAAATTTTGTGTGTTGTAAATAATTTGTCAAATTTAGAGTAATTATAAAAAAAAAATTATTCTGCGCACTATTTGCAACAGATTTGAATGTAACTGTTTTTATATTTTCAAATTCAAAACATTTTTTATAATACGCACAATTCTAGGAGTAAGGTATTCACTTTCGGATGATTTTGACAGACAGCATGACACTAAAATCCCCATATTTAATGGCAATTTTATTACACTGTATTATTTTAATATTATTGTTGTGTAATATTTGCAAGTTAAACTTTCTCACTGCCTTCTTGATTTTAAATTGAAAAATTACAGTGGCAGTGTTCATCAAAAAAGCGTTTGAAATTTAAAAGTGTGAATATATTTTATTTTTAAAAAAATTACACTGAATATTAAAGGATTAAGGTAAAAAATTTAATATTTTTAATTATAGAATCATTTAATTTTAAAATTTAACGTTGAATACACCTGATTTTTAATTAAACTATTCATTTTAACTTATCTACTTACCGCAATACGTTTTTATGCATACTTAAAAATATTAATTAAGTCTTGATTTAGTATTATTATTATTTAATAAATGTTTAATTAAATACTTTAAAATTCATAATTATAGAAATTCAAATTTAATTTTAAAATAATCTCTTTCGAAAGTTTTCTTTTGCAAAATTACTTATTTAACTAATTTAAAAAAAAAAAAAGTATTAATTAATCCATTAAATTTTCTAAACTTACATGACAAGGATTTAAAGGAATATCCGTTTAACAAAAAAAAAAGTTTTAATATTTTTAAATCAATTTTTTATTATTTATATAAATTTACTAATTTATTTATAAAAATAGATATTTTAACAAAAAGTATAATATAATTACTTAGAAAAAACAAAAAAAATTAAAATAAAATTTAAAATTTGTGATGTATACGACCAAATATATGTCAATTATAAAAAAAGAAAATTTTCTCAAATTATATTATATGTTATACTTTTCGTTATGGCAATTTAAAAAAATTCATAAAATCACTTCTTCAAGTTTTCAACTTTGATTTTCATCTTTCATTGTTTTTTTTACTATTTTTTTGTCTGGAATTATTATTATTCGTGCGAAATGTTATACACTAAAAATGAAAAAAAAAAAAAAAAAAAACAATTTTGTTATTTTTTTTTTTTGTAGCATTGATATTTTTTTTTTTAATTTTGTTATCTTGTGATTTCCTACCGTTTGATCTAAATAATCCATAAGGTCAGACATTTTAAAATGCTTCTTAAATGTTTCTTTCAAGTTACCATGTAAATCTGTTATGTTAATCGGTTCATATAATAACACTTTTTGATGATATTTGGGATTAATTTGGAAAAAGTGTTCCATAGCAGAAGGTAAATCTTGAGGATTACTAGGACCTGACTGAGTTAATATTTCACTAATGTTATCAAAATCATATTCTTCTGGATTGCACATTGCAGACCTTTAATAAAATTTGAAAATTAAAAAAAAAATTTTTTTTTTCAAACTTTGATTTATTTTTTTTTTTAAAGATACAAACCCATCGAAACTGTTTTGACTAGAATCTGATGACTTTTTTGAATTTTTTTCTTTTGAATTATTCAAGTCATTCGTTTTTCCACGTGATTCCGATTTTCCTTGCTTTGTTTTCTTAATGTTTTTCCCAATTTTTTCTTTACCTACAGAAACACGAACCTTGGGTTTTTTTTTAGACATTTTTTTTTTCGGAGTGCCAGAGATAACTTTTTTTAAAAGTTTGCCCGTTGCTTGATTTAAATAAGGATGTAATTCTTCGTAAATGTGTTTTAAAATTTTTTCTGCTTTCTTTTTACTAAGACTTTTTTTCAAACCGTATTTTGTAAGATGTTCCTGAAATTAAAGCAACTATTTACAACCTAACATCAAATGTTTCAATTCGTAAAAACCGTTTTAATTTTTTTTGTGAGAAATGAGTGAAGAGACAATTTTAACTCATTTAAATACTATCGTTATTATTTTCATAGTTAATATTATTTTGTCAATCTAATAATTTTGCACTATACATTTTACCTTTAATAAAGAATCTCCCATACCGCTATAATGAGGATATGGGGTTACAGGTTCTTCAGAATCAATTTCTCTTGCTCTCAAAGGTGTTATTTCTTCAAAACTTTTATTTTGTACCGGAGTTGACGATTTTAAAATAGTTGAATGTGAAAATTCGTGAATGACAGACTCAGACAATTCGTTTACATGATCGTAATCTTTATTACTTTTTCTCTTCTTGCCTTTTATGCGAGATTTTTTACTTGAGCTCGAATTAAATGATCTAGATTGTAAACCCAATGATTTTCTTATAATTCGACTAGCCGTCAGATCTTTCCTCTTTTTTTTGGATGATTCAAGCTTTTAAAAGATGAAAATTTTCATTATTAAAAAAAATTATATTTCGTCTATAGTATAAGTAAGTTCGAATTAAAAACTTACTCTGGAAGATCGACGAATACTCAAAGGAGTGGATGTCTCAATTTTATCAGAAGCTTTCAACGTATCCTCTTCATCGATTGCATTATTTTCTGCTATGAGTGACTGACTGTGTACTTGTACGGGTGAAAAGCCATAAGCTGGAAAATTATCTTCGTATGGGTCGAAATAAGGAACATCGCATTCGATATTATTTTCCATTATTTTGCTGTCACTTTTTTCTTCCGGAATTGGTTTTAAGGTTTGCGATTCCGAATCGCTGGATATTATTATACAGTCATCGTTTGTTTCATTTTTTAATATGACTTCATCATCTGCATCTCTCGTATTCGAATCCCTGGATTGACGTCTTGGTGTCGTGCACCAATTTTTCATTTCGGTTTCGGATTCTCCATAAGGTTGTTCCTCATCAAATTCTTTCAACATTTTTTCCATCATTTCATTTCTTTTATCAAAACTAATTTGAATTTTTTCCATTTCCGAATTAAAAATAAAACTCTCTCTTTCTTCTTCTTCTTTTAATTCTTTTTCTTTTTTTTTTTCCTGTTGCAGAAAACTCCAATAGGATTTTTCCAAATTGGAATCATTATCGTTGTCACTAACAGTTGAAGAGGTTGAACCATGATCACTTTGAGTTAAATCTATCATGTCTTCTTCAAATAGATCCCTATCCGCGGCGTTTAAAGGTAAGTTGTTTTCTAACTCATTACTCGGTTTTCGACCTGCTAATAGAGTTGTGTTAAAATCAACTTCTCTGATCATTAAAGAATTTCTATTAGTATTATTATCTTCGTTAATTATATTTTTTTCTAAATCGTTTATTACTTCAATAAGTTCTAAGTAATTAAATTGTTTAGCTAAATCGACTAATTCTTTAACATTGTTCTTTTGTAAATCATTTAAAGTTCCACAATACAAATACTCTAAAAACACTAAAATAATAGGAAGGTTAAATTTTTTAAATATACTAATGTAATCCACATCTAAAATATTCGAACATCTGATTTTTAAAACCAACGAATGCATAAATATTAATTCTCCATCTTTACTCGAAGCAGAAACATCGCTAAAAATTTCGTTATTAATAATTTTTCTCCAGTCCTGATCAATACTTGTTTTTGGAAGATTTAATTTTAATACTTCGTTTTCGATATTTTCTAACCTAAGAAAATTAGATGCATGTTCATCTTGACTTTTTTTCTCTTCCAATAAAATGGATCCGTTTGTATTTTTCGAAACATTATTTTTCTCTGATGGATCAGTAGATGTGGAAATCAGGTCTTGATTTTCGTTTTCTGTATTTGTTTCATACGAAGGTTTGTTAATAATCAAACTATCGTTCGACATGTTTTTTTTTTCTTTTTCAACTTTTGTAGAAAAGCTATTTTGTGTATTTTTAGGACTCGTTTTTGGTGAAACGTTGTCACATTCTTCATTTTGTACATTTCTTACTAAATCGCAAGTATTTGATTCTTCCAAGTTTTTTTTACCATCCGCTAACTTAATAATTTCTTCTTCTAATTTTACTTTATTTTTTACATCCGTGCTATCGCATTCATCAAATTTATCAGAAATATCAGCAACATCCTGTAGTAATATTTTATTTTTTATTCCTTCCACATACCAATTAGATTTCTCTTCGCTACTAGTTAGATTCCACAACTGACAACCCTGTAAAATAAAATGGAGTGTAGAAATTGTAATTACTTAGAATTTAAAAAAAGTAATCAGTACATTTCACATTTAATAATATATTTGATGTACTTACTTGGTTTTGATAATGAATTAAGGGATCTGATAATTTAAACGATTTAAGAACTGAAATATTAGCATTTACATTAATTTCATCGATTTCATCTAATAAAACTATTGCAGCTTTTTCAGTAATAATTCGTTGACGATCTTCACTTGTCCTAACTTTAAGAACTGAATTTATAATTGTCTTTTTTTTTTCTGAAAAATTTTATTACTAATTACTTATGAGAAAGAAGAAAAATTTTTTTTTAATAAATGAAAAATAGATAATAGACAAGTTGACACATACTCATTTTAAAAGAATTTTTTAATAATCCCATTTGTGCATTATTCGATTTACCATTTTTTAACGAGCCATCTTTACATTTTTTAACATTTTGTACTTGCATTAAATTAAGGAATGCATTTTTAGTATAATTTTGATCATCTAAAACTGAATTCTCATTTTCAGCCTAAATATATATTTAAATAATAAATTAAAACAAAATTATTTTTTTTTAAAAACTATATTAAATATTTTTTTTTTAAATAGCTACAAGTTTAAAAAAACTTTTAAATTTATAATCTACCTTAGGTAAATGACTATTTTTTTCTTTCAACTGTTTTTTTTGAAGATTAAGAACGTTAAGCAATTGACCAGTAGATAGTTTACATTTTTTCGAGCACAATTTCATATGAGATAGATATCCTGCTTTGGATTTAAATGAATTTTTGCAAAGTATGCAATAATTAACTGATTTGTTGTTTCCATTGAAATAACTACTCGATGTTTCATTTAATACTGAATCAACAACATGTATTGATAAATTTTCTTCCTCTTTAGATTCTGATAAAACTTTACTCAGAAGCAAAGAGTCACTATCACACTTCTTAATAGTAAAATGATCCACATCTACTGGTAAATTATTTGCTGTAGTAGATAAATCTGACAGTGAAATTTTTGCTTGTTTGATACATTTTGCACTGAGAACATCAGTTGCTTTTCTTTTAGAAATTAATGGTGAACAAAACAAGTCACTTTCATTTACATCAGAATCTGAACTCATTATTTGAAAATAATTAATAAAAACCATGTGATAATAATTTTAATTATTATTTTTTCTGTATTTAATTAATGACTTTTATTTTAATATTATTAAATTTAATTTTGTCTGGAATTTAAAAATTGTATCATTTTAATACTATTTTATTTTAGAAATCATGTCAAATTTAATAGAAACTTACTCATTTCGTTCTAAAATTTCTAAGAGGTCTTTTTTATTAGGAATTATGCCTAAAAATTGTAATCTTTCGAGTTTTCTTTCCTCAGAATCATAATATTTGACAAACGCATTATCTTTTCTGTAAGGAGCTCTGTATTCGAAATACCTGTAAAACATAATTAAATAAGAAAATATTATATGTATATGATCCTCGGTTCGGATAATCATAAATTTTAATTAATTACAAGATAGTAACTTAATTTGATTGAAAAAATCTTTTAAAATTTCACCTTAAAGCCAAATACCCAAATCCTATGGTTGATACTACAATACCGACACCTATCCACATGAAAACTTTACGAGTAGGAGTGTCTATTAATCTTACACGTTTAGTATGTTTAGATATTTCTTTAGCGTCCATCTTCAAATGGCAGAAATACAAGTTTAAAACCTTTGTGCCGAACCATAGCAAAAATTTTTTATTCTCTGTGGTTCTTTTAGTATTAATTTCTACTACTAGAGAGCAGTGCTATTATTTTAAAGATGGATGCTAATTTCAAGTTAGAAGGTGTTATCTAATTTTAGGTTTATTTATAATTTATTTAAAAGTTAATGAAATGAAAATTATACGTTTTTATTTGTAAAAGTTTAAATGATTACTATCATTAATGTTTTTTTTTTTCACAATTGTAAAAAGATTTACTTATTTTGTATAAATTATAGTTTTTAGACTTTTATAGAATTTTTAAGATGTTTGACACTTTACCCAAGTGCCAACCATTTACTACATATTTTTTTCGTATAACATTTTTGAAAAACTTTATATATCTTTTACTATAGAAACTGTTAAGTACAAAATTATTAAATTTGCTTATTAAAATGGCAGTTGATGAATGGAGGCTTATAAATTCCAATATTCCTCAATGGAAGAAGGATCTAATAATAAGGCGTCGCGCAGTCGGACAAGTTTTGCCCACTGAAAGTGGCTCAGTTGAACTCACCTGCCCGAGTGTAGTGGCTGCTGTACGTTTGGCGGAGTATTCGGTCGACTCGAATTTTTTCCGGAGTTGCAGGAGCAAACGTGAACAAACTGGCGCTCACAAAAATATGAGATTTGTCGAACAAGTTAACGCTTCCCATGACTTCGTCGAGCCTTCCATTATATTGGGCATAAAAGATATAATTACGAAAATCGAGTCGGGGTCTAGTGTGGATTTAAAAATGGGCGAAGAAAAAAGCGCGAAAAAAAACTCTAGTTCGTCTATAATTAACGATAAAAAAAGTAATAATTTATGTTTTGGTGATGGTGATGATTGCGCATCGGATTCTAGTGAAGAATTAAAATATGGGCCAGGTATCGTGAGTAAATTAAAATCTAAATATTTAAGTTTAACATTGCGAGAAAATCAAGGAAAAGTGCGTCCATCGTTAAACAGCTTGAGAAAAGCAACAAGTTTAGAAAATATATTAAATGGAGAGGAAGGTGAAAAATCCGGAGATCACAAGTCGAATTATTTGAAAAAAATTCAACTGGCTGATAATGAATCATCGGAATCGAGGCACAGAGGTTTAGTGAGAAATAATAAAGAGTCTATGAAAAGAGCTAGATCCGTTGAAGTCCTTACAAAATACGATCGCGGAAATTTTATATCGCAAAAAAATGAAGAAAATAATAAGGATGACGTTAAAAATTCTAGAAAAAGAATCAGTAGTGTGAGCGTGGAAGAAAAAGAATTGCCACCGCCTGATCTTGTAAAGCAAACATTACAAATTTTCGAAAAATCTCAAAATTCAAACAACGTTTCAAATTATAAAAACAAAGTTCAAAAAAAAGTACCAGAATACGTAAGTGGAAAAAAGTCAGTAGTGAATTGTTCTAAATCGTTTAGGCCAAAGCAAAATGGAATTGAAAATGGTAAAATATCAAAAATTGTCAAAACCTCTGTAAATAATTATTCGTTAAATAGTATTTCGAATAGGAGTAAAAGTTACGAGAAAATCATTAGCAAAAACATTGAAAACTGTGTTGAAAATAATTCAAATTCAATTCCAAAGCCTGATATTATTGACACCGTGGAAAAAAGGAAAATAGCCTTGAAAAGAGAAAATTCAAACGAATCTGTGATAATAAACAAAAATTCCAATAACGAAAATATTGTTAAGCCAATTATCAAAGATGATGATAATCACGTGGAGAAAAATTTTCAATTACCCTCGAATCATAAGGAAAATGGATTATCCCTCGATTTGACGGATTTGGCCGTAAGTCAAAATAATAGGAAAAAAGGGGCCGCCATCGTGAATTCAACGAGTAAAAATAATGGTACGGAAAATGGGGGGATTTTAACAGATTATTCTTCCGAAACGAAACGTTGCATTTCTCCCGTACTAGTTCGAGCACCGCCTTCCATACTCTCATCCGAATTAAATTCTACTCATACTACTACACCTTCTCAACCCATGAAACAAGTCGGTGTGATACGACCCATAGTCACAAATAAAAAATTTCAATCGAATTCGATAAAACAACAAGTTGTTAATAAGTGTCAATTGACGGAAAGGGAAATAGAAAAAAATTTAATAAACCAAGTTAAATCCATCGAACAACCCGTTACGAAAGTTATAGTATCATTGAAAAAATCATCGGAAGAGTGTTTTACGAATGATGGAACAAAATCGAGTGATAACGTGGTTAAAAGAGGACAATATTGGGATAAAAAACCCAATTCCATGATATTTAATTTTAGCAATAGAAAAACAGTTCCTGATTACATAGAAAATGATGGTCTCATATTGACGCCGAGAAAGGAAAAACCAAAGGTGAGTTGTTTAAACATTATTATTTTTAAATGAGATTTCTTCCAAGTATATTTATATATATATATACACGGATTTAAATAAATCCGTTTGTTTTAAGTGAAAAGGAAATTTAAACTATTTATATTAATTTTTATAATTTGGCCCTACGCGCACACACACACATCTATAAATATGTATATACATATATACATTTTCGATATCTTTAAATGCTTTACTTTGTGACGTCACTTAAAATTCCTTTATTGATAATTTTAAATACTAATGACGTGTACCTTTGTAAACACTATCTGAGTGTTAATTTTTACACGTTTTTCACGTCGAACAATTGGAAATGTTGAATTAAATTTAATTAATTTCCCCAAAAATTTTAATTTAAATTTAAAATTTTTTCAATTTTTTTATTCGCGCGTCACAAAATTATCTAAAGGGTTGTGTTGTGGGGTGTAAAAATTTCAAATTTCTCTCAAAGTTATAATATACAGTTATAAAAAAAATTTTAAAAAAAATATTTTGTTTAAATTAAATATATATGATACCGTAAAGTAAAAGTCTCGTAAATTAAAAGTAATTATTATTAACAAAAAAAAAATTACGATGTGACTATTTAGCCACACTTAAAGTGAAATTCACCCAAAAAAAAAAAAGTAACAGTTGGAGTTTGATAAAATAAAATTCAAGCGTTGATGAAAAGGGAAAATCGACGAATTTTTTTTAATAAATTACGTTTAGAAAAAAAAAAAAAAATTTAAATATTTGGGGAGTGTCGAAGCTTTTTTTCCCTTACGACGTTAAACCCGGAAAATTAAGCATTTTCTTTTTCTTTCAAAAAACGTGTTTTGAAATGTTAATAACTAATAAAAAAAAAAAAAAAAAAATTACGTTGCGAAATAAATATTACGTTGTAATAAATAAAATAATTTGATTTGATTTGGTTAATTTGTTTAATATTTTGGCGAAAAAGGTTTTTTTTTTTTTTTTTTTTTTTTTTCATTTGTTTAGTCGAGAAAATCAATTTTTTTAAAGTTTTTTACTTTTTTTTTTTTACGTTTCAATTTTTTTTTTTACAGTTATTTATTCGCATGTTTATGTTGATTACTTAGCTATAATTTAATAAATAGCATTATCGAGTAAGAGATGATGATAGGGAAAAAAAAAAAAAAAAATCGATAGTGATTCATTAATTTACAGTAAACTATATGTTACTATTTGACCGATTACTCAACTCAAATATTTATTTATTTATTTATTTATTTTAAAAGTTGAAAATATTTATTACGTTCTCGTCAAAAAAAAGTTTACGATAAAAAAATTTACTTTTTTTCGTTTTTTTAACATTTCAAAATTATTATTATTATTTTTCATTTAAAGTTGTTGTTGTTTTTAAATTTTAGCTTTTTTACAATACTTTTAAAAAACTTGAAGGAAATCCAATTGATTTCATGAATGTTTATTTCCTTAAATAATTTTTTTATTTTTTTTTTTTTTCAAAAGAAAATTTAGCGATTATTAACTTTTTATTCGGAGTAAAAAAAAAAAAAAAAAAACAAATTTTATGGTTTAACGAAGACGAAAAACTAAAAATCGTGCTTAAAAAAAACGTTAACGGTTCGAACGGTTTTTTTTTTTTTTTTTTTTTTTTTTACGACCTGATAGCAGAATAACTCGAAACAGTTTTTTTTTTTTTCTAATTTTTATTTAATGATGCATAATATTGTGCGAACGATATATATATATATATGTTTTTTTTTTATAAAAATATTTTGACTTTATTATTATTTATTATTATTATTATTATGACAAATTTATCGTAACGTAATTAATTTGTTTTAATTAGTTATTTATTTACGTTTATTTTTTTTTTTTTTGCCATTTGAACTGAACGTTTTAATCAGACCGTAAGATTGCAAGGGAGGGGCGGGGCGGAGGGGAAATACCATTAATTATAATTTATTTTTTGTTTTTATTTTTTCCATCGAAAATTTTAATTAACAATTTTTTTTTATTTGTAACCGACCGACCAAATTTTTTATAAATTTTATTTTTGATTTTTAATTTATATATAAATGTACGTGAGCAAATTGTTTGTTTATTAATTTATTACCTTGTGATGAGTTGTTGAAGTTTAAAACGTTGCAAAAGTTTTAAAGTTTTTTTCTTCTGCTTTCCAAAATAAAATAAAAAAAATTTTTTTTGTCATGCACTGAATAAAACTACAAATTAATCAATAATTAAACATTGATAAATTTTAATTGAATGTTGTAGTAATAGTAGTTGGTAGTCTTTAAAATTATTTCAATAACGTTTTTCGAAAAGAGTCGATTATTTTGCGGGGGGAGGAAGGGAAGGAGGGGAAGGGGGAGGAAATCAATCAGTTGATGAAATGTATCGAATTTAAATTTTTTTTTTTTTTTTGAAATATTAAAAAAAAAAATATCTCGAAATTAATTACCCATAACTATCTCATTGATATTGTTTTGAAATGTTTACAATAAAATTTTTTAAAGCCGAGAAATAAGGTATGACCGTGACAGAAAAAAAAAGTCAGATCAGGTACGACCAAGCTCGATAATTAATTAATTAATTAAATTTATAAAAATTGAACGATTACTCTTTAAATAAGTTAAAACAAATGAAAATTTATGGAATTTTAAAAACATAATAAATAATTTTTTGCGTTTTCAAAATAAATAAAAACAAATAAAAGAGTTAAATAAATAAATAAATAAACGTTTTTTTTTTTTTTTTTTTTTTTTTTTTTAAATAAGAATTTGTAAATAATACATATTTTAAAAAAAAAGGCAAATCAACTTTTAGAAAATATTAATTTATCGCTTCGTAAGCAAAAAAAAATTTTCCTTAGCTTTAGTTTTTCTTAGGAAAATTTTTCCAATAAAATTTTAAAATCGTAATACGTCGTAATTAAGTGAAAACATGGACTACTTTTTTTCTTTTTGAATTGAGAAATAAGGAAAAAATTATTATTATTATTTTTGTTTTTTTGAAAAATCATCATCATTTTCTTTTTTAAATTATTATTATTATTTATCTCAAATATTTTTTTTTTTTTTTTTTTAATAACGAATAACTTTATAAAACTTTAAAAAAGAGAAAAAAAGTGTGCCTTGAAACTTATGAAAGTTGAAAAAAAATAAAATAAAATGACGAATAAGGAAATGTTCCTTAAATTATTTAACGTAATAATAATAATAATAATAATTTACCTTTGGGGTTTTTCGCGTCGTTGGTATATTTAAACGTTAATCGTAACTAATGGTATTTGAATTTGCCAAAAAGAAAAAAAAAAAAAAAAGAAAAATGAAAAATTTTTTCACGTGAAAATAAATAATTAAAATACAATGTCGTGTTTTTTTTTTTTTTTTTTCCCCTAAAAAGTTTATGATAAATTATTTATGCATGGAATAAAAAGAAAAAAAATTTAAGTAAATAAATAAATAATTTTTATAACAAATTACATAGAAAGTGGTTCAAAGTCGGTATTTATATTAAATTTATTAGTGCGTAAAATCTTCTCACGCTTAATTTTTTATCTTATTTGATTTTGACAAATTCACGGTGATGGTAAAAAAAAATAGAGAGAGAGAGAGAGAGAGAGAGAAACAAATAAATTTTTCTCACACGATTCCAAAAAATTTTCGACAATGAACAAAATAATTATTATTATTATCAATAATTACATACAATTTTTTTTTTTTTTTTTTACTTGTTTAACGTACCCCGTTTTTAGAGTTGAAATTGATACAAATTTATTGATGAAAATTATTTTATGATATTTTCAATTAATAAAATTTAATTAATAAGTTATTTCAGAGGTCGGACTGGTAAAAAAAAATCTGATAAAAAATCTATATTATTTTTATTTTGAAAGTATCGATTTTTTTTTTTTTTTTACCGATTTGTAAAAATTAATTATTATTATTATTATTATTATTATGTTACGTATTAATAATAAATGTTAACGTTACCGTTTAATTGTTTATTATAACTTTCGAATTTAAAACCGCAATTTATTACTTGTCAGCAAAACTTTTACTCTTATTCGGATAATTGATTACCATTATTATTATTATTATTATTATTATTTGTTGATTCAGTTAACGAGGTACTTAATTGTTTTGATATAATATTTTTTATATAAGGTATTGTTTCCTGTTAATCCTGTTTTTCTCATTGATTTTGTTTTTTTTTGTGTGTGTGAATCAATTCATTTTTTGCTCTCTACTGTTTTATTAATTTTTTTTTTTGCACAGGTTTTATTACTTAATTACTTTTAATTAAGAGTAGTAAAAAATATGTAAAGACTACCAATTACTGTTGTGAAATTTATTACAAGTGAATTTTTTTTCAAAAATTGTTCGTTAAATGATTTTGCGTGGCATTTTTGTCGTGATAACGAAAACGTGTTGGCGAAAATTTTGGATGTTTAAGCAATGAAATGTTTTTTTTTTTTTTTTGCGTGACACTTTGAAAATAAAAATTATCACACAAACACGTCATTAATAAATAAATGGCTGCCGAAAACCACTTAATGCTTTTTTTTATTTATTCATTTTTTTTAATCATAATTTAAAATAAATATGTGTTAATATAAAATAAATTCTAAAGTACTTTATCAGCGTTTATCTGTCGAATGACTTAATGTTGCAGTGGGTGTCGAATAATTTTTTGGAACTATTATTGCTTCCACGTCGATCCAAATTTTTTTTTATTATTTATTTACTTAAAATAGCTTTTTAAAAATAATAAAAATGAAAAACTTTTTTATTTATTTTGTTTTTCTTTTTCTTTTTTTCTTATCAGATAGTAGAAAAGGATATTTCACTTTCTAATGGGAAAATCGATGAACCTGCAAGTGATTTTAATTTGGATGAATTAGCCGCCTGTGAGCCTCCCGCACCTTGTAATATTATTTTCGAAGGAGACAACATATTGATTAATGGAAGGTCAAACATTCAATCGAAACCTAAATTACGAAAGGTAGGCACACAATAACGTTTTAATTTTTTTTTTTTTTTTTCAATGTAAAAGGAAGTATATTTTTTGTTGTTGTTGTTGTTGTGGTTGTTGTTGTAATTGTCGTTG